AAAGGAAACACGAACGGTTAGTTGTTGGTTAGATGTCATTCAAATTGAGTTACTTTTGTATGAGAGATGAGTTCATACTTTGTGTATGTTTTGTGTTTGGTGCACTGAAGAAAAAAGGAGAGCTAATGTCTAATCTAGGTGTTTAACCTGTGTAAGTGTGGACAGTTAATCACAGACCTCGTATTTCATATTGATGTTTCTGTTGCTTTCACACACTCTGCCTGGGTTATTAATTTTGTGACTCAAACGAGTATAGTGGCTTGTGCCAGCTTGACTAAAATGGGCATTTTATATGTTAGCTGAGTGTTAAATTCTTCCTTTCCATGTCAGCATATTTAATTTGGCTTTTTATTAAATGAAAGAAAACTCATATCAAAAGGTATGATGTCTGACCGGGCAGCCAGGGCAACGCCCAGAAGCTAGGCAAATACTTTCTCTGTCACATATCACACAAACAAAAGAGGAGATCAGGCCAGAGTGGACACACATGGGGAACAAAGCAGAACAGAATTTGAATGATGATGAGGGAAGCAAAATTGGAGATGGGAGACTATCAAAATAAAACAGGAAGTACACATACACACACTCACACACAGACTGGGGATAGATGTGGAGACACAACGAACTAGGTGAGACCAAGGAGCAAAACAGACAGACACAGGTACAAAAAACTGAGATGAAACAAGGATGGACTAGGCACGAAAATCAAAGGAACATACATGAGAGCAAATAGGAAACGTTTTCCTTCCTGCGGCTCTATATTATTTTCTGTTTCCTTGTTAAATAAACTTTTGTTTAATGAAACTGATTTGCCACGCCTTTTCTTTGTTAATAACGTGCCTGTGTGCCTTTATAACTGTTAAAACTGATGCACTGGCTAGTGTAATATTCTCTGGGGTGTAGTTCTACCTCCAGGTGACGTTATCAGTACTGTTTAATTACCTTTACTGGTTTTCCTTCACCCCACCACGCAAACACAAAATAAATGGAATCTTAATTTTAGACCAGATGACTCAGTTATGTGAAGTTTTTACATACAAACTGCTCTATTTGAATAACTCTACATGAAACGCAGCTTAACAGGCTTCCATATATACAACATATTCCTCAAACACTATTATAAAAACTTTGTTTTTAGATGTTCTGGCTCTCCGCATGAATCCAAGTCGCTTGTGCATGAGACAAAGAGCCGACTTTAAACTAATTACTGTCCATACACTTCCTGAAACGGGCAGAAGGAAATCCAAACGAAAGAAAGTCAAAGCAACACGTCTGTAATTTAGCGCAGAGAAGCAGTAGCGGTCCCGCTGTAAAGCTATCAGACGCCCACCCAGACCAGACTGTCTGTAATGTATCGTGAAATTAGCATTTGCAAGAGACGATTACGACAGAAGTAATACTAAGATCGTAACAAGTCAAAGTTATACACCGATCAAACGGCGCCGCCCGATTCTCAAACAAAGTGCTCCAACCTATAAACACACCTGTTTACTACAAGGTAAAATAATTAAACGTATGACACAAAATAAAAACATACTAGCAATCGATGTAGAGAACGATCTGCAGGTGATCTCTGCAAAAACATAAGAAGCACGAATTGACAAAAATATGGCCAATTCAGACAACAGGGACATGTACGTGACTCTTACCTCTGACAGCTGGGGAGGTCATGAGTCCGGAAACCCGGATATTCTTCTTTTTTTTTTTTTTTTTTTTTTTTTTTATTGAAACAAATTTTCATATACAAAACAAGTCAAGGAAACAGACCAGAATTGTAACAATTTACATTATAAAGATGGTGAAGCAAGTCATCATAACTTTACAGGGAGAAAATAAAAGTTTCTAGGGTAAAG